TGTCTGAAAGGAAGTAACGCTAGAGTAGACTCGCGAAAAGTGTATAAGACACTTTTAAGATCAACTAAATAGCTAAGCCCAAGGGAAGTCGTTCGGGGAGGCCCTCCCTAATTCCACAAGGGTGAGAAGAAACACACACGATAACGAAACGTTGAATCATGTAGAACTCGTAGGGTAAATGCAAAGCAATTTATAGTAAGAATATGCAGTAAGCTAAGCGAAGAGGTAAGCAAGAGACATGTTAGACTATACTACAACTACTAAACGTGTTAGTTTTACTACTACTACACTACTACTATATACAAAAAAAATCTACAATTAACAATTACTTCAAATAAAATGAACAAAAATAAGCATGCAAAATAAAAATTAATTTGAATAAAATGAACTTAATGAATTCTACTAGATAGAGCATGCAAGATAAAGAACTATTTCAGCTACGGGGTCATCTTTGTCTTCTCCAACGTCGATCTGAAACAGATACGGTGGCAAACAGATTAATAAAGAGCAATTAAAATTAATTATATCAAGTATTCCCACCTTAATTAATTGTAGACTGTAACTTTTCAAAGTTTGCAGATGTGAAATGCAGACTAAATCCAGAAGGAATACCACAGCACAAAATGTTGTTTCAGTAAATCTCCTGTTGCTCTCATTTATCAGTTGAAAATTAACTTCATGATGTTGCAAGCTGAAGACGAAAACAGCAAATCACGAATATATAGTTCACAAAAGACAACACCACTGTAGACCTTGACTGTTTCAGTATGACCAAGTTGAACATTAGTCTCTTTCATTTGTTGGATAATCTGCAGAAAAGACAAAAACAACATATTAATTACATTCTTAATTAAGGAAGGCATTAAATACGCCTAAGCCAAACACAAAAAATTTACTCTAAAAAATAAGTAAATAACAAATTACAAAATGAAGGCCTATGTCATTTTATTCATAGATAAAAGTTAAAAGCATAGGTACAATAGAAATAATAGATACCCAATGTTGTGAATAATAGATAGTTGCTAGACTACCTTAGATGCACGCTATCATCAATTTATGCTAAGGCCAATAGATGACAGAAGAGAAACCATAGATCCCAAGGATCGCCATCGCTGTGAAAATTACCGTCAAAATAATAAACAATTGCTAACCTCCGGGATTATTGTAGACAGTAGGGTGCTCCACTTCTATTCCTAAACGTTGACAACGAAGAAATACACTGATGGTGAAATGAGCCAACACGCAAAACACACAACATCACTGAAATTGCACCTTTCAAGTATAAGAGGTTGTGGAGAGTCCAAGTTTCCAATCCTTATTTTTTCACCTTGTTCGTTTCATGTGTTAAAATCATAACCTGTCGAAACAATTTAATGATAGTTTCATCTAAAAAAAAAACGGTTAGTTCTACCGCTGCTACTAAAAAAATTAAAAGAATACTACAAAAATAAAAACATCTACAATAAAAAATTGATTCAAATACACCAAACTATAAAAAACATGCAAAATAGACAAGTATTTTAGCTACGGGGTGTTCTTCTTTCTTCTCCACCGTCGATCTGAAACAGATACGGTAGTAACAGTTTAATAAAAAGCAATTAAAATTAATTATATCAAATATTCTCACCTTAATGAACAGCAGACATTCCAGTAACATTCCAACATGAACAGTGACATTCCAAAGTTTGCAGGTGTGAAAAGCAAACCAAATTTAGGAGGAATACCATAGCAGAAAACTTGTTGCTTCAGTGGAAATTAAAATGCTGCAAGGTGAAGATGAAGACGAAAACAGCAAATCAAGAATATAGTCCAGGAAAGACAACACCATTGTAGATATTGGTGTTTTCAATATGACCATCCAACTGAACTTTAACTCTCTCGCATTTGTTGAAAGATCTGTAGAAATGAACAAAAGACTATCAAACTATGAACTAAAGAGGAAAGTAAAATATGAAATCCAATAAAAATATGCTCCAATAAAACAAGTTAAATAGCTAAATTATGATATAAAGACGAAATCCCAATTTCATTCATGACATAAAGAAATGTTAAGAGTAATTTAAAGGTAAGACGTAATCACAGATGCACGTTAACATCAACTTATGCTGTGGATAATAGATAATTGTAAAAAAGAAAGCTCATAACGTCAATTTATGATGTGGACAATAATTAAGTGTTAGAAGTAAAACCAAAGATGCCACAGATGGCAAATTTTTATAAAAACTAAGTTGATAATAAGTTAAAAAAAATAATTGCTTACCTAGAGAATGACTGTATGGTGCTCGAATTTTATTCCTAACTGTAAATATCAGGGAAGTGCCTCCAACAATAGATGTTTATAAAAAGAAAAATAATACCACTGATGGTGAAATAAGCAATGTAACAGACTGACAGAGCATTGCGTTGCAACCTTACATAGTGTAAATTGGACTGCATACATTTCCTACAATTTTCCAGGTTTCAAATCCTTTTTTTGTCTTCTCGTTCATTTAATGTGTTTAAATGGCAACCTGTTAAACCAATTTAATGTTAGTTTCATTTTAAAGAATGTGTATTAAAATATATTATTAATTAAAATCAATAATTAATTGTTACAATTCAAAGTGTATAAGACACTTTTA